ATGAAAAACTCCTATATGGCAATTCAATGTTTAAAAAATTAGGGTTAATTATTTATTTTTACATACATGACAATAGTGGAATGAATTACACTCATGATTACCCATTTACAGCACAATTTTTCATAACTCTGTATATAAAGTATGGCTGAGGTTGTGGCTCAGTGGTAGAGCGCTCGCCTAGCACAGGCGAGGCCCTAGGTTCRATCCTCAGCATCACATAAAAACAAAGATATTGTGTCCAACTACAATTAAAATATATATAATTTTTTTTAAATGTGTTTTCTAAAAAATATTTACAACCAAATCTGGCTAGTGACTTTTTCAATGCCCTGAGAGTGAGGATTTAATAGAATGGAGAGATAAAGATTTAATAGAATGACACAAGTGTGCTTCAATTCCATGTCCTACTACATTTTTCATAAAAACTCAACACTTGAGTTTGTTGCATATCTCAATCACCTGTAATTAGAGGACAATATAGCATGTAAAAATAACATTCTTATAGTCTTACAAAATAATAAGCCTGTTAGTAAATTAAAACAAAAATAATTTTAAATCTCTGGACATGCTATTGTCTTCCTGGCAAGTTTTGCTTTCTACCAGAACTACAGATAATAGTCTAACAAGATAAAACTACTCCTTGGAAAATTTTAAAATTATTTTTATATTAATAGTTTAATATTACTTCTAATTGTCTTGGAAATGATTCTTAAAAATTAAAAGAAAATTAAAAGGAATATCAAGTTCACATTCCTTCTTCATGTGAACAATGCAATTGTTTTTCTATCCCTACGATCATAAGCTCTTTGATGAGCAAACTCAATTATTAATTTTAGTATCAGCAGAGGCCTTATGCAATACAACTTCTCATAAATGTTTAAAAATTTTATAATAAGAGAATGATTAGAATTGAATTTTCTTAATATTAAGTTTAACATATTTTATTACATTCTGAATTTTATCAACTTTTAAAGCATCACTCATAATTTAGATTAAACTACCAATACCTGTAAGAAATATACACTATAAAGTGAAAAAAAATGATACATATCATAATCACCTGAAGTACAGATTTTAACTTATTACCCATCACAGCAGGATGTAAGAGGCAAGGTTTGGGTAATTTTTGATGGAGCTAAATACCTTAACAAAGGGACCAAGAGTTAAGTGGCCGTTAGCCAAAGCTAAGAGACAAGGTCCTACAATTCTCCCAGAAGCTAGTTAACCAAAATCAGAAAGGACAGTCAATGTTATGTCTTTAAATCATAATCGGACACACAAGCCATGTATGGTACACATGTGATCAAATAAAAGCCATGCCTTTTCAAAGAAACACTATCATAATACTATTTGAAAATAAGAATGTTCTAGAAACTCCAGATTCCAAAAATCAAAGTTCTTTCCACTGTGTAATGTCACCTTTCACTTGACGTCTACACTCAGGTAAATACCTAGTTTAAACTGAACTAGGTATTAAAATTATATGGAGAAAAGTACTGTCAATTACATTTGAAAATTAACTGAAAAATAAATGCCAAAAACAAAAGTTCACAGAAATAAAACTCTTAACTAGAAAACACAGGAATGAGCAAGTGTTACCACCTAATCTATATTTTAACAAGATTCTGTCATGTTGAGCGGCAAAGCCCACATGCCAGTACCAGCTGGGGTACCGGGGCAGGAAAGGAAAATGAGATTAGCCAARACCCCAGAGAAGGGAGGAAGCTGCCAGGCCAGGTAAAGGCAGTCAAGACTTAGTAACTGCACATAAGTAAGAGGAGCAGTGACAATGGCCCCTGTGGACCACGAGCTCACTGGCTGTTCCACCACACCTCGGCTTCCTACCTGCTCCAGTACCATGGAACTGGCCTTCCCTGCAGCCATGGAGCCAACTCCTGGCGGAGCAGGGAAGCAGCTGTGAGAGGCAAAGCCCCTGCTCTCAGCCATATGCTCCCTCATAAACCAGCACAAAACAGACCTGAACCAAGAGACCCTCAGAGGCATAAGTGGAGCAGCTCTCAGAACCACCAGGACCCAGGAGGACAGGGAGTCACAGGCAAGATTAGCACTCGCAGCAGTCCAGAAACACGGGGCCAGAGATGTGATGTGCACTGCACAAGGCATGTTCTCCTCCCTGCTCCAGGGCATGGTCTCCATCCTTAGGACATCTTAAGCCCTGAGAGCAGCTACTGAGACAAACATGCTTTAACCTGTTACTGCCARTGCACTTTGAAGGAGAACAGCAGCTCAGCAACAGTCTATGACACAGGCATCTCTCAGTTCAAGATCTTGTCAAAACCACTTTCTCAGGAAATTAAAACCCCCTTTAGATGTATTGTGCAAAATGTGTCTGGTACCACAAAAAAAATTAATTATTCTAACAGTCACAATGAGTAGTCTTTGGGTAACAACAAAAATTAGGTAGTATTTTTTCCTGTCTCATCTTACATACTTCTTTTGTGATTCATGATTTCCATGATTTGCTTTTTCAGATAATGTTGAGACCCTCCTGTTATATTCCTGACACCTTATGAAAACCATGCTTCCTTCATGGGCCCAAGATGATGAGAGAAAAGCTTCTCAACTACAGAAATCAAAGGCATTGCTCTAAAGGAAAGCATTTCCTAGTTGAGTGTGACTTGTGTATCACAGCAMTTTTAACATTAAACACAATCAGTATCACTCAGGAATTCAAGAAGAACTATTAAAGAACAGACTTTGTAAATAACATTGATTATGGAAAAGTAGGCAATGAGGTAACACACAAGGTTTTCTTTGGTAAATTAATTTGTAAGAAAATAATGTCATGAAGATTAGTCATTCCTTTCTAATCCATTATCCTAGGAAATGGGGATCTTCATTCCAGAGAACCTACTGCATGTAATTTATTAACTCAGAGGTCAATTTGCTTCACAAAAGGATTCGCCATTATAGCACCATATGGAGTTTGAAGGCAACATCAAAAGACTCAAGGAGAAAAGATATAGGCATCCAGGGAGTCCACAAGATGATTCCTACGAGTCCCACTAGCATCCATTGAACAAATAAAACCAGAAGGGATCTTTAGCCTGTTCACACTCTCATGATTAAAATGGYTGTTACAGTGAAAACAGCTATTCCTCTGGTAAATATCACGAACCACCCCAGAAGTCCTCCAGGACCCCCACAAATCACTCAGACCACCCCAACCTCCAGCACTATGGCTAGGATCCAATTGATTCGCTAGTAGTTATATCAAAAAAGTTGTGAAATATTTTGAATATCATTCCTGAGTATAATCAAAACTCCTTAACTAAGAAAATCATTCTCTCCACTAAAATTTTGTACAATCTTCACTTGAGCTTTTCAAGTTACTAGTAGCAAGAAGTAAAATTCAGCTGCATGAAATATATTTCTTTCCTATAGTAGATTTTCTTCAAATTACACATCCTAATTAGTGGCATATAGCAGCTATGCTGGGTTCTATGAAATGGTCTTCCACACATCACATGAATGACCACTTCATCTTTGATAGAAACTTTCTAGATAGAGAACTCAAATTTTAATTCAGTAAATTAAAACATGTGGATCTATAAATTCTAATAAATATCTTAAAAACACAATTCCTAAAATAGTGTCTARAAATCACTTCCTATTACACACAGAATATTTAGAGCTTGCCTAGTACAATCTTATGATTTTGGTGAGATAAAATATCTTTTCAAGGCTATTAATTTAGAAAAAGCAGCTTAGCAATATAAAGTTAAATTTGGGCAATTTGGGTATGTTGTTATCCACAAAGATAGCAATACACATTTTTCTAGACACTAATGCAAAAGATTTCTCTTTGTAAAAATAGATTTGCATTTCAAAGTTGATATAGCTCAGTGATATTTAATGATCAGGAAAGGTTATTGCAGACGAAAATTAACTGTTGAACTGTTCTTAATTTAAGTCTACAAGTTTTGCATGAAAACACCGATATTTTAAAGGAAATTTTATCTATTTTATCTATTTTAATACAGTAATTTCAAGCTTTGTTGTAAATGAAAAACAGAATCCGAAATATTAAAATACAGATAATGCATAGGGTACTTTGTAAAATAAGCTTTTAGTCTAAAATTTTTGAACTATAAGGGCTAAAAAATGTAACAACACAATAATCCCTCATTTCTATGGAACCATGTATTATTAATCTCTTATTATCCCAACTAGAATAATGGTTCAAAAATTAGAGCAATACATAGATCATTAATGACGAAAGAAAAATTTTGGTCGAGTTCCTGGAAATAATCCAGTTTATTAAACTAGACAACATTGCAGCACTTAGCATGCCCCTAAAAACATTGAGAGAAGACACAAAAAACATGACCAAAAATTTATCCTTCTGCTTAACTGTAAACTGTATGAATTAGCTAGGAATGGGTAGTAGCCCAGTCAGTAAGAGGATGTCTTATGGAACATAAAGTAACCAGATAGACTTTTAAAGAAAAATATCTGCATTTGGAAACAGAATAAAAGTTTTGATTTTAAGAAAATTAGCTATTTGCAAAATTATAACTGAATTAAGCCATATGACTATAATTTCATCACCTAAAGTATGTAAGTGCCATGAAATTTTACTCGCTATACAACAGCTTAGAAGCTTAGAATGTAGCCACACAGTTATAGGCTTTTAACAATAAAAGGTCAGTGACAAAGAGCCATGCACAACACAACCAGTCAAGACAAGAACAGAGCTCAGAGGACAACACAGGCAGACACACAGATGCCCCAGGAAGGCTGCTTACAAATGTCGACATGAGCACAAGAGGCAGCCACACAGACCACATCGCGCCTGGGTTTCTTTTTTCAAGTCTTTAAGATATGACAAGGTGCTAGGTAAAGCACAAGATCAACCCCAAGGAGTCACAAGTGAGAGCCACTGACTTATCTCCGCAAACAAGATTTCCAACACCTGTAAGAGATGCTGTCATGAGGCAGCTGAGCACACTAAAATACTTAGTCTAAAGTGTACTTGCCCCTTCCGACTTCTCCACCGTGTTAGCCAGCATCTCCTGCAGGGCCCGCACYGAGAGGGACTGCTCCAGCACAAAGGTGCAGATGGACAGATCCGGGGGCACATTCTGAAAGCAAAGAGGGAGAGCCATGAGTATGTCACCAGCATCCAGCACCCAGGCCCCAACTCTGCCTTCGTGTCCTCCAGCTGCTGTTACAGAAAGTGATGGTGCTTGCTACCTCTGTCAACTGCCCATCACCACCACACACTGTCATTACTGTTCTCGTTCAATGCATTTTTTTAATATTTATTTTTTAATTGTAGTTGGACACAATAACTATTTTTTTGAAGTGCTGAGGATTAAACCTAGGGCCTCACATGTGCTAGGCGAGTGCTGAGCCACAATCCCAGCTGACATTCATACATTCTTAAATTCAGGTAACCGCAGCTGCCACTCCTGGAGTGTGTACCCTGACACATGCTACCCTGGAGCTTTGTCTATAGCTCCTGTGGTTCTCCACAGCAGGGATTATTACTATCTTCAGTGGACAAGAAAACAGAAGTTAGGCCACTTTTCCAAAGTTACAAAATATTCAAGCCAGGATTGAAATCTAGATTATTTCAACTCATATATTCGTTTCTAAACTACCAAGCATTCTGTTGATTTAAAAAAACAACATCTAAAGGGCAGAGAAATAATACTTGCCTCAGGTTAATACTGTAATTAAGCAAATATAAAATTGAACTAATATGCAATATTCATTTACACAGCTTCTCCTTATGCACAAAGATAAATACTTTCTTCTCATTGGATGTCATATTTTGCCTTTAACTTGGGATGTACTTATTGGGCTCCCCATTCTACGCATATGTGTGCTGTTTATTTCCTCACCAATGATTTTCCCTTCTCCTTTCTGTTAGTCTTCAAATCCAATCAATACCCAATACATTGTAGAAATCTCAAAAGGTGACTGTCAATGAGGTGAAGGAACCAGAATAAGAACCGATTGGTTAGTTAGAACTCAGCCTTCTTAATCATGCAAGCTTCTCCACTTGAGGTAAGCAGGATCCTGGGCAGGTGCTCAAAGAAGATCTTCATAATAAAAGAGCATTATAATTACATTGGATTCATAATAAAACCAAGACAGTCTCCTCCATAAAAGGAATATTCTGAGGATAAATCTGATACTTCAGAATTATAATTTTGTAAGATTTATTAAATTAAGCCACTACCACTGGAATGATCTCGTTTGTCATTAGCAAAGAATGCTTTATGGTTTGAAGGAAAAACAAAATACCAGGGGTCCCGAATTAACGTTAAAATTATCTTATGGGTTAATGAAGCACACCATCAGACCACAAATTCTATTTTAACCCAACAAACGTTCCACGGTTTATTTTCTAATGGACATCCTCTGGATTGTTCCTTCTGCCTACCATGGGCTTCTCTGCCTCAACTTGGTCAGTCTTCACCTCACATGACAATCACAGCCAGTGGCCCAGGGCTGTTGCTGTTCTCCCTTGCAGTCAGCCAGAGAAGCATTTTCTTTCCAAAATCTTGAGATAAAAGACTGAAAGCCAAATTTCTACTATGAAATTTATGAATAAATGTTCCTAAATTTGATTTTCTAAGGTGTAACTATATTGACTACAGTCTTTCCTCTCCAGATCAAGACAAAGCTACGAGGGGAAAAATCCATTAATGGAAGTGCTTATTTCATTCACATCCATGCCAGAAAAACTGACAGGTAGTGCTGCCAGGATGCTAGGTTACTAGCTGGAGTGCTGGTGAACTGGCTCAGAGGAGGGGTATCCACCTTGATGTTCAGCATCTGCCCATTCTTATGATATCAACACCCCATCACTGTGGACATTACCACATCACAGTTTGTAATAGAGCTCACAAAGCCATCTAGTACTTAACAATCAACTCCCAACATCTGCATTATCTCTAGCTCGCCTTTGGAATGATTTCAGACCAATATTCATTAATTTTTTTTAAAGTCAGCCTATTAAGAGAGCCAAGTGCATGGATTCTATAAACAGACCATCTGAGCAAGAATCCCGGCCTCACTACTTACCGGCTGTTAACTTTTGTATTGTTTTTATTTCCTTCCCTGAAAGAATAGCATAATATTCATACCACCCTCATAAGATTGTTGTTAAAAACAAATGAAGCAGCGTATGTGAAGAGCTTATCACGATGTTAAGAACACAGCAAGAATTCAAAATAAGCAAACCAGCATTGTTTGTCTCATGTATGAGGACTTCTCTCCAGTTGGGGCATGTGAAGTACCACTCATTTCTTAGCATTGTTCTTACCTGTATTCTACTTTGACAAATAGTAGAAAATACAGATTTGTGCTTATATCATCCTGAATGTTCTGGTACTTTCACAGCACTTTCTAGTTAAATGTTTACAGTCTGAGAATTGTAAACTGTTTCATGCCTCACTCTGATGGAACCCTTCAAGTAGGAACTGCCTGATTTCTCGAAAAACAAAGAGGTATGGAACGAGTTCATCCTGCAGAGCCCACTTCCTGTTTCCACAGTGACAGTCCTGCTGCAGGGACTCTCAGAAAGTGGGAGTCAGTGGGCAAAGACCTTCCAGAGAGCCTCAAGGCAATGCTTTYTAGACCACATTCCAGCTCCACTGGGCTGCACCCTTCTCCCCATACAAATGTAACAGAAGAGTTGTTGACATCTGGAAAACCTGAAGCCATACAGAGCTTTGTGAGACACTCTACATTTTGCTCTCAATAAAAAGGCCCTACTTATCCTAGGCATCAGAATCATTTCCATAATTTGGTACCACTTAAAGTCAACTCTGAAATGTATTCCTCAGATCACATGCATACTCTTCCCAATAACCTTGACATGTTTACATTATACTCACTATAGCACTGATACTGAGCCTTTGTTCTATATCCTAAAAATCAGGCTGGTCACTGGATAAAAAAGGGTCATAGTCATTAACCAAAAACCAATTGAATGACTCAGACCTAAGCGACTCCCAGAACCCATATAGCAGAGAAGGCCTAACATCTGTGAACCTCTGTGGTGGAAGCTTCAAGTTACAAACCCTTTCACAATATCTTTAGTTTTAAATTTTTTCTCAAGTCTCATTACTGAGAACAAAGTCCATTTTTAGAGCTTCACTTTGAAAGAACTCTGCTTGCCCTTCCTGTGAGCACGCTCCCAAACCATAAAAGAAATCCTTAGCTACATGATGGGCTCTTCAGAATGCTCAGATCACAGCAGAACATCCAGCTATCATCATGGCTGAGCATGCATGGCCACCTGCCTCTCAATCACAGTGATTCAGACTGTGTGAACATCTGCCCTAGATGCCCAGAAACTGCCCCAAGCAAGTAGACAGGTGGTTCATGCTTGTCTTATGGAGACACCAGTTTCATCCAGATATGTGGACTTTGGCAAAAGCAAAAACTAAGCTATCAGCATAGCCATGTGCTTCCTCTTTTCAAAACACAAACTGGTTACTGTTCTCATCCTGGCAAATATCACGTAATCTTAGGAGGAGGAAAGTCTCTAGAGTAACCTCAAAGCAGCATCTGGCCTGCTGGCACTGGACAGACCATGTAAAATCAATTAGGTTTCCTATCGAGGTATCCATCAAACATTTGGCTTCCACAGATGTGTCTGCCTAATTCACTTAAAGGCCTATTGAAACATGACATTGCCTTAACTGAACCGCAACCAACCATTTAGGATTGTAATCAGCATCAAGCTGCCCCTATTACTGTTGTGTAAAAACTGAACACTTATAAGCTACTCTTTCAGAATCCCAAGGCCTTTGTCCACATCTTCTTCACCCTCAGCCTGAAATGGCCACTGCCAGGTCTCCAAAATATGAAAACCATTCATATTTTCAAATCACACCAAAATGGAAGCACTTTAAAAACATTTTCCTTGTAGAGAAGTCAAACACTAAAAATTGAAAATTATCTTTAGTTACAAATTAGTTATAATTATACTCATTTGATTCCCTGAAGGAACTACTCAACTTTTTGGGTGTACATCTTTCTAATCCTGTTTTTGACACATTTACACATATACGCTTATGTGGAAAAGCACAGACTGGCTCTTCCCATTAATGGGCTCACCATATACAAATTATAGTTATTTAATTCACTAATATACTCCAGATACCACTGCCTGTTAGTAAAGTAACATCACTTCATTCAGCACGACTGCCATAAAATCTAGAGGCACTGGACTCCCACTGAAGGCGGCTCACGTTTGCTGCCATGCAGCACGAGCTGGGCACTGTGGGTTCCTCACCACCCCACAAGCCTGGCACAGTGACTCACCCAGAGAAAGTGCTCCATATTTGATCAACTGACCTATGCATTTATCCTATTTCTGGAAAACTAAATAAATGTCCAAATAGGAAGTTACAGCCCTCATGGCCAGACTCTCTACTTTGGGTTTTAGTAAACCCCTAGCAGTTTTCTATTAATTGGCAAACAAGATAACCATTCACACCATCTTTCAACTGTATTCCCAGTAACACACAAGGTAATACTGATACCCCAAAATGTTTTAAGAATTAGCAATGTGTCAAATCTTGATAGTTTGACAGCATGAAGCTAAGGAGAAGGGTCTTGGAACTCAGGTCCCTCCATAACTAGCCAAGGGCCTTTCTCAAAGTCAACCTGGGCTTCCCTAGCAAGGGGAAAAATACCTATCTACCTCCAAGAATTGGTGAGATTCAAGTAAGACAATCAATATTCTATAAACTGGAAAATGCTAATAAGATTATAATTTTATCTGTCCCATTTAAGAAAGCCCTAAATTAAATTGAAAGCTCAAAATTTCAGAGATATAAATGAAGAGAAAAGCTGCCCATCTCCTAAAAACTGTGAAGACGGCACACTGCAATGGCAGATGGCCTGGAGCCGAGGTAGGTTCCTTTCTGCTCAGCTACCCATCTGCTGAGCGGCCCTGGGCAAGGCAATGGAACTGCTGAGGTCGGCTTCCCCCCAAACCAGCGGGATGTCAAACTATTCCAGAAGACAAACTTGTTAATTTACCACCTGCAGACACAAACCAGGCCAAGTTCACCCACCACAGGGGGAATAACAGCCTACAAAATGTATGTTCTCC